GCTTGGTGTGCACCCTCCCCAGAGCAGCCAACTTCTAGAAGCAGCACCCTTTTAGAAGCAGGTACAACCAGAGCCTGGTGGTTTGGCCATGAACTTGGTCCATTCCTCAAGCTCTGCAGAGCGTGGTCTGGAGCGCAGCACGGGGTTTTGCAGGGAGACACCAACCTTTGTGGGGGCTAGTCATTCACTGAGACACAGGCACAAGTTCTGGAAGAGAGGCTCTGAGCAGGCTGCAAACTACTGGCCCCTGAGGGTGCCATGGGCCCAGGTCCTTCTATGGATGGCACCAGGAGCTGAGTACGAATAGGTACCCAGCAGTAGCAGGGGATAATAGTAGAGTTAGGGTGAGCCCTCCGACTTCCTATGTACATTAGCGGGGATGGGGGGGTGGGGGGTTGTATATCTTCCTCTTAAAAGCACTTTTTGTCCCAAAGATGAAAGTGTGCCTAGCCCCAGAGAAAAGTGGAGAATTTGTTTTAAAAGCCTTCACTCATAAAATAATAATCCAGGAGGTCTGGGATGGAGGAAGATCCACAGACATTCACACCAGAATAGCCCAAGGTGAAGGCCACTCAGCTGGGTCAGATGCTCCCAGAGGCTGAGCGAAGTGTCGGGGCCCAGACTGGAGAGAGCATGCGTGGTTCCTAGGGCCTCTGAGGGGATGGCTCTGCGGGGCAGGCAGAGGCGAGGGCTTTCAGAACCCACACGTGACGGGGAGGGTGTCCGAGTCCTAAAGATGTTAGACCACTGCCTGAAAGCGGCATTTGCTTTGGGTGGGAGGATCGAAAACAGGACTTCAGACCAAAGACTGAATGGCCTCTTTCAGGACTCATGTAAGTTCTGGGATCCTTGTATAATTCCCTGAACACAGGCAGCCCTGAAAATGGATTCATGGTGAAGCTACACACCCTCATAAGAATTGAATGAACATAATTTGAGGGAAAGAAGGTGGCATTTCTTACGCCTGAATCATGTCCAGGGAAGCACATTACTACCCACTGTGGACCTTTGAGATCCTGTCCATCAAAGAGATCATACAATGCTACAATAAGAAAGGAGGGTGATAGAACTCAACTAGAAAGAGTTAGTCTCCAAAGCTACTCCCTAAGGTGAGGGGTTGCATTTCAAAGTAAGGCAGGTGTCAGGGAGGACATTCCCACACTGGCATTTGAACCAGTTGGGATCTCTCAGCTCTCACCTGAACAAAGCAGATGAACACCCAGCCACACATGCCCCAAAGAAGGGACTGTTCACACAGACGGCCCCTCTTCTCCGTGCAAGAAGCTTCCCGAAAGACAGACTCAAGATTAGACTGAGAAATCAAGACACGGGGAGCCCAGAACACCGAGCACACCGAGAGGAGGAAGCCGCAGGCCCTTCAGGCGGGATCCAGTCTACGGAGCCAGCCTGGCTTCCGGTGATGGGTTTCATCACAGATTAAAGGGCCCAGCCATCCAAGTCCATGCAGGAGGGAGGCTGGCCAGGAGCCATTAGGGGATGATTAGCAGTTCTTGGCCAGGCTTCTGAGTGTGGCTAGGAACTTCAGAAGGGCCTAGGTGGGAAGAGGGGCCTAGGATCTGGACTGAAGCCAGGGAGGGAGGGAGAGCAGCCTGCATGTGGGGCTGGATGGGGAAGCAACCACTGGCACATCCACGCTGAAGGGCCCAGGGCCTCCCAGCCTGGCTCCTACTCACATTGCCTCAGGGTCTTGGCAGCAGGTGGGGCAGGCCGGGGTGCCCTATCTGAGGGAACAGGACTAGCTGTTGTATCTCCATCTTGGCCAGTACTGGAAGAGCATGCCGGACTCTTGTACTTAAGAGAGCTTGCCATATCCTACTCTTCCCCACCGCCACTACCAATCTCCCTGAGGGGACCGCTTCCTGATGTTCCTCCAGAATCTGTGGTCGCCCCCCTTTGTCTTGAACCACATTGTCCGGCTGCCAGTACATTTGATTAGACTATTGCTTTCCACGACTGCCATGACTTCCCGGTGACACGCTCTGTGCCCTTCTATTAGACCTTCGCAAGGTGACTTGAGGTAGGAAATCCCTTGCCTAATGACTCTTCAGGCTAGTGAGTCTCATCCCCAGTGGCTGATTCATTTCACAAGAGGACTATATCCCCACCCTCGGATGACCCCTCTGCCCACAAGATGTTCCTAGGACTTGTGTCTCCTCCCTCCGACTCTGACACTAGATACCCTGCCAGCCTGTCAGGAAAAGCCCCCTATAACCGTGATGTGAGGAGGGGGCTGCTTCCTGTGCCTTGTGTCCCCCTGATTGGACTGTAGGACTTTGTTCCTCCTGAGTCCTTTGGACCTACCTGGTCCCAACTAGATCTTTCTAAGCACTGAACCTCAGACCCAGAAAGCTCAGCTGTGACTGGGGACATTAATCCACGGTACAGGGGAGTGTGCCGCAAATACTAGAGTCAGTGGTGCCCGTTCACACCTATCAGCCCTGATCCTACCTCTCAGGAGACTGGGGATCCAAAAGGGGTGCTCAGTCAGCTTTACGGCACTACGGCAAAATATCTGAGGGGAAAAAAATGAATCGAAAGATGCTAAGGTTGAATGGAGAGCTGGGACAGTGGAGAAGATAAAATAAGAAGTGTTCCCCTGGGGCATGAGAGAGTTAAGCCAGCCAAGATGGGAGGGAGGAGGGGAGGGAGAGAAAAAAAACAACACAGCCAGTCTTGACAGGTTCTGGTGGGCACCCACAAAGCCACTCACTGAGAGGTACTACACTCTACTTACCTTTCATCGGGTCTAAGAGAGGGACCATCTGGGGTAGGGGTAGGGGGCAGAGGAGGGGAATTGATGGATCAAGAGTTGTAAGCTAGGGACTGGAGACATGGCTCAGTGGTTAAGACCACTGACTCTTCTTCCAGACAGCTCCCAGAGTTCCACTCCCAACACTCACACGGTGACTTACCACCGTCAATAACTCCAGTTCTGGGGGATCTGATGTCCTTGTCTGCCTTCCTTGAGCATTGAATGCACATGCTACATGGGCTTACGTGCGGACAAAACACCCACACAAATAAAATGAATGAATGAAAGTTTTTTTTTATTTTTTATTTTTAAAGAGGTGTAAGGCAAACACTAGAGAGAGGCGCTGGTCCATGCCCCACCCTGGGAGCCGCTGGTCCATGCCCCACCCTGGGAGCCGCTGGTCCATGCCCCACCCTGGGAAGTGATCTTTAGCTTTTGCTTGCTCACCTACTGAAAACAAACTGTGAGTACTCGCTTGGCCTCCCTGTACCCTGGTGTGAGCTCTCCCTCCAGAGCATGAGGTCCCAGCAGCTGGGATCAGAAGGAATTTGGGAGGAGGGATCTTCCCACCCAAAGCAGAGGATGATGCTGTGGTTCTTGTCCAAGACTGGCTGGTGGGCCCCTGGCCTTAGGCCTGAGGCAAGGCAGAATAGCTTGGTGACAGAAGACTGTGGCCAGAGATGCTGCTCACCTGTGACAGCTGGGAAGGAGGTGAGGAGGGGCGCCAAAGAGCACTCTTCAAAGGTCATCCCCAGTGACCTGTCTCCTCCAGCCAGGCCCGTCTCCTGAGAGCCCAATCCAGCAGGATCAACCCATTGATAAGGTTAGCACTCCAGGGACCTAATCACCATTCAGCGGCACCAGGCCTTTAACACATGAACCTTCTTGGAGACCACTTCATATCCCAACCATACAGGGGTGGGGCTTCCAACCAGGCTGATGCGTGTTCTAACATGTAGATGACTCAGGGAGGCGTTTCTCCTTCTGTGTGTGGCTCTTCTCCAGCAGAAAGTGTCCATGCACACAGCAGGAATGTTTTCTAAAGCCCATGGCTGCCTGCCTCATTGGCACGCCTGAGGTAAAGGCACCTTTTGGGTCTCCGCCAGAGACTCACTTGTCTCCACAAGGCCCAGCCCAGCTACGGGTGGGTCCGTCACTAAATGAGAGCGGGTTATGGCTCCCGATTGAGAAGGAACACCCCTGAGAATTGCAAGAGGTAAGCACGGGGGTCTAAAGGAACTTGGAAGTGAAGGCTGATCTGCTGAGGGGCTAGCCAGGACCGCTCCTCCACACCAGCCCAGGACCTGCAGAAACCAGATCCGCCAGCATGAGGATGGCATGCCTGGGAAGCAGGGGGACTGGGTGCTGGCATCTGCTTGGCACCTGGTGAGCGACTTTTGCTGTGTCATGATATGGTGGAGAGTATCCACGGCAAGACAAGGAACGCATGCGAGAGAGAGCTTGGTTTTTATAACAACACCACTCCTGGGAGGAGCCATTAACCCACGAGTGGATTTAAATTAAAATGTTTTCAATCTATTTTATCCTTTTATGTGCATGCATGCTTTGCTCACATATGTTTAAGTGCTCCATGTATATACCTGGTGCCTGAGGAGGTCGGAAGAGAATGTCAGGTCCCCTGGTACTGGAGTCTCAGATGGTTATGAGCTGCCGTGTGGGTGCAGGAGATGGAGCCTGGGTCCTCTGCAAGAGCAGCAGGTTTTCTTAACCTCTGAGCCATCTCTCCAGCACCAGTGAGTGGATTTAGCCATTCCAAGGGCTCCTGCCTGATCATCTCCCAAAAGGCCCATCTCCAAAAGTACCATGAATTTGGAACCTGGGGAGTATGTTTCCCACACGTGAATGTGGGATTCAAATCATTGAAAGGACCTTCCAGAGTTATTGCAAAAAGTAAATGGACCCAATGGCTGGATGGGGTGTGGCACCTTTGATGGAACCAGATTTGAAAAGCACTGGGACAAGTTAGCCACGGTCTCTAGGGTGGGGACATTGCTGTGAGTGGAGAATGGTGCCGATGCTTTGAAGGAGGGAGCTTCAGGAGGTTTTCCCACCCCATCAAGGGCCCAACAACAACAGAGAGCCTGTTTGCATGGAAACAGAAAAACAAAACAGGTATTGTGAAATTCAACCTGCAGGATCTAGGTGGGAGGTATATTTTGGCTGTGTGTATTCATACTGACAAAACACATAACTAAAGCTGAGGGAGGGAGGGAGGGAGGGAACACTGACTTTGGCTCATACTTTGAGGACACAGTCCATTTTGGTGGCAAATGAATGAATGAAGGAACCTGAGGCAGCTGGTCACGTTGAGTTCAGAGTCAGGAAGCAGAGAGCAATGGATGCTGGTGCTCAGCTCCCTTTCTGCTTTTATTCAGCCAGGACCCCAGCCCATGGAATGGTGCCACCATATTTAGGGCAGGTCTTCCCCAGAGTTAAACCTCTCTGGAGAAACCAGGGGTGTATCCCCACAGTGACTCTAGATTCAGTCAAATTGACAATGAAGAATAGTTACAACATTTTGTATTTTTTCCACTTAATGTTTAAATTTTGTCAAGTAAAAACTAGGAGAGAAAGAATAAATGAGACATGGTATGCCAAGCACCCTGCCCGATGCCTTAGTTCGGCATTATTTATTAGCAAATATTCACTGAGCCATTGGGTGACATCATCCCAGAAGCAGAACAGTCATGTGTTGTGGATATCACTCTGCATAAATAAAATGCTGATTGGCCAGTGGCCAGGCAGGAAGCATAGGCGGGACAAACAGAGAAGAGAATTCTGGGAAGTGGAAGGCTGATGCAGGGAGACACGGCCAGCCACTGCCAAGACAAGCAGCATGTGAAGATGCCGGTAAGCCATGTGCCATGTGGCAAGGTACAGATTTATAGAAATGGGTTAATTTAAGATATAAGAACGGTTAACAAGAAGCCTGCCATGACCATACAGTTTAAATAATATAAGCGTCTGTGTGTTTATTTTATAAGTGGGCTGTCGGACTGCCGGGGCTTGGCGGGACCCGGAGAGAAAACTCTCCAGCTACAGTCATGTCAGACCTGGATCTCAGACGCAGCAAGTCTTTCTAGAGAACCAGAGACCAGCATTAAATGACAAAACACATGAGCATGCTGGCCACTCACAGTGCTCGGTGTTGTCCAGAATGAGATGGGGGTGGGGGTGGGGTCACATTAGCATGGATTCCTCTAAACCTCTGAGCAACAGAGGAACCACCCACTTGTCCTGTGGCCCTGGAAAGGCCTAGGATGCCCCAGGGAGGTAACATAGCCACAAATTCAAGTGGTCAGGTTTGTTCCTCTATGGGGACTGAGGCTGTGGTACCACACACAGCTCTTCTGTCTGAGCAGACAAGCCAGATACCATCAGACTTCCTTGACCAGTGAACTCTATGGCGTGACCAGGGTTCCCGCTGGGCCACTTCCTGGAACCAGCTAGTGATCTGGAACTGGCACTAGGTGATCTCAGTGGCCCTTTAGCCAGGTCATGAGGCTGGCCCAGACAAGTCTCAGGAACACCATTAGCAAATGAAAAGACATTCAGCCTCACACTCATGCATAATTAAAGACATGCACATTGAAATTCAATATTTTCACCCATCTGCTGTTTAAAAGCTAAGGAGATTGATAACATGGGGCTCTTGGTGAGGCTGAAGGGAACAACCCTTAGAGACTGTTTGCCCAGCCTCTGCTGGGTCATTTGGAACTACCCATCACATTTGAAATTGTGACCATCCTTCAGCTCAGCTGCCTCACTTGACTGGATCTATGCTGAGACAGTCAGAGACATGCTCTTTCTAAAACGTGGTACAAGAGTGGTGATGAAGTTATACCCACAGCTTGGGCAGCTCTGACGTATTTAACCACAGTAACAGTTCAAATGTTCACCAACAGGGGCAGGGTATTAAAAAGAAAGACGTGTGTAGCTAGCTGCAAAGGCTGAGAGCAGTTAACATCACCCGGGAGACTGCAGCGCCAAACACCACTCATGATGAGAACAAGAGACAGAAACTGGACAGGCAGCTGGGGCGGGGGCCTGAAGCAGCAGCTCTGATGCCCTTGGCTCTCTGGTCTTAGCGAGGGAGAGCTCTGGTTTCTCATCTCCTAAATGAGCGTGCCTGCCTTGACGCTATAGGCAAGGGTATGACTCTGGTCCAGACACTAATCCCCAACAACTTAATCTCTAGATTTTCATGATAGAAATGGTTTCTATCCATTCCCCAATTTCAGCCTATCTCCTAATGATGTTAGAGTAACCTCTTCAGAATGGGAGATGTTACAGCAGCCTTGATCAGGCTCTACTGAAACCCGTTAAGGGAAATCTATTTCTTCCTGTCAAAAGAACGGACTCCACCTCTAGTCTTAGGTGGAGACCTAACATTCCAAGCTACCCAAAACGTAAGAGTTAATCCATCTATCAATCATCTGGCCAAGGGACCACCCCTCAGAAAGGCTGATTCACCTTAGGCCATGCTAAAGAAATGGGAGAAATAATTATTCCCTTAAATGAGATAATGTGCTTTTCCTTCCCAAAAGTCCCAGTCCTTTGAATAATCAATACAGAACCAGAGGCTATGTTAGAGCTGACCCCTTGGATGAGTCCTGACTCAGAAAGATGCAACTTCCTCCTTGTCTTCTTTTCTGTCTCTTTCTGATGCCGGCCAGAGCCCAAGTACACTTCCCCATGGACTTTGGGCCTTTCATTCCTTCTCTGATGCTACACCGATACCCTACACACACACACACACACACACACACACACACATACACACACACCGTTGTTTGCCGAACCTCTGTGGCTAACTCCAAGTGAGGGAGAGAGAGAGAGAGAAGAATGAGAAGAATGAGAAGAAGGAAGGACCGCAGTGGATATTTGTCCTTCTGCCTAGCATCTGACCCATCTCCTCAAGAGATCTGGGTAACTCACCTAGCTTAGGGTATTCCACCAAGGAGTTGGAAATGGCCTTCTGACACCAGGGCTGTTGTGACACCAAAGTCTAACTCTTATTTCAAAGGAACACGAAGACTTGGGCTTTCAGCCACTTGCATTTAAGTAAAGGATATGCTATCTGTGATGACATGTTAACCTTCCACAACCTAGAATTACATGGGGTGAATCTTAATTAAGGAATTATCTAGATCAGGTTAGCCTGTGGGGATATCTGTGGGGGATTGTCTTGACTAGTGATTGATGTGGAAAGACTCAGCCCACTGTGGGTGGTATTATTCCCTAAGCAGGGAGTTCTGAACTGTATAGAAGTCAAGTTAAGCTCAAGCAAACAAGGAAAATAAACACATGTATTTTTCTCTGCTCTAGACTGTGGATATGATGTGACTAGCTGCTTTGATTTCCTGCCTTGACTTCCCTTCAGTGATGGACTGTAACCTGGAATAAACTTTCTCCTCTAAGTGCTTTTCTTCATTTCATCACAGCAATTAAAATGAAACTACAACACTAAAGTGGGGCAAAAGGTCAGGAAACACATGAGAAGGATGCATAGTGATACACAGGGGAAGGATATACAGTGATACACAGGGGAAGGATATACAGTGATACACACAGGAAGGATACACAGTGATACACATGGGAAGGATACACAGTGATGCACAGGGGAAGATACACAGTGATACACACGGGAAGGATACACAGTGATACACACGGGAAGGATACACGGTGATACACACTGATAAACACGGGAAGGATACACAGTGATACACATAGGAAGGATACACAGTGATACACATAGGAAGGATACACAGTGGTACACAGGGGAAGGATACACAGTGATACACACGGGAAGGATACACAGTGATACACATGGGAAGGATACACAGTGATACACACTGATACACACGGGAAGGATACACAGTGATACACATGGGAAGGGTACACAGTGATACACACTGATACACACAGGAAGGATACACAGTGATACACACGGGAAGGATACACAGTGATAACACGGGAAGGATACACAGTGATAACACGGGAAGGATACACAGTGATACACACAGGAAGGATACACAGTGATACACACAGGAAGGATACACAGTGATACACACGGGAAGGGTACCTGGTATCTCATGAATCCCAGAATTGAACTCATGAGATCGGGGCCCAGCTGAAACCAGGAAGCCGGAGACTGGGGCAGTGTTTGCAGAACTCCCTGGAGCTGCTCCCCCTGTGGTTCTGACTCTTCAGCTCTGCCCTTCTCACATCAATTTCTACATCAGATTCCTGCAAAGGAGCACATCATATGGCAACCGAGGCAGTCACAGGGAAAGAAAGGCGGGGGCTACAGGCACCTGCCACAAACATGCTGTGCCGACCACCCAGGGTGGCAGAGCCCTCCCAGGAAGGTAGCTTACTAGGTCAGAAGGGCTGCCAGGGCAGAGTCCCACAGACTGAGTGGCTTCAATTATCCCCTCAATTCTGGAGACCAGAAGTTCGAGATCACAGTATCAGGAGGGTTGGTTTCAGAAAGCATCTACTCTTTGCCCTTCTGGCTTTCTGGCATCCCTCATCATTTATTTGGTGTTTTTGTTTGTTTGTTTGTTTGTCTTCTGGGTGCACTATCCCGATCTCTGCCTCCGAGCTCTGGCATTTTTCTCTGTGCACAGGTCTCTGTGTAAATGTCTTCTTTTTCTGGAGATACCAGCTATGTTGTGTTAGTATGACCTCCTCTCAGCTAGATGATCCTGTTTTTAGCTGAGGTCCTAGGAGAGAAGACTTCAATATATAAATTTGTTGGTTGGGAAACAGTTTCCACTGAAAAATGAAAAGTGTGTGTGTGGGGGGGGGAAGCTGTAGACAGCAGACTTGAGGCAGCAGAGCCAAAGGGGAGGAGGAAACCCAGTTGGCTTTGGTGTTGGCAAAGGTGTGAGTGAGAGGCATTTGAAGACAGGAAAGTGCCCAGGTGTAGTGATGCATGTTTGACCCTAGTACCCCCTGTCACCATCAACCTTTTCTAATACAACTGTCCCCACACGCTACCTCTGCTCATGTCCCAAGTACATTTCAAACCACTGCTGCCTTTTCTGTCCTTTCTACCTTGCCAAAACCTTCCTTGTAAAGGGGCACCCCCTTGTCACCAAATCCAGCAGGTGCTGTTTGTACATTGTGCCCCTTAGAAGCCTGTGATGGTTTTGACACCCGCCGCTTTCATCATTTCCTCCTTTTCTTGTGTTTTGATTTATTAGGTTTTTGGTTTTGTTTTGCTTTGTCTTTCAAGACAGGATCTTTCTATGTAGTCTTGGCTGTCTTGGAACTTGCTCTGTAGACCAGGCTGGCCTTAAATTCATAGAGATCCACCTGCCTCTGCCTCCTATAGAATATTATTTTAAGATGTGTTACATTTGTTTGTGCCATGGAACATTTGTTTAATGATACAAAGATGTGTTGCATTCTTTTATGTTGCATTTGTTTAACTCTGTGAAGCTGTGTTACTGTGCCTGTCTAAAACACCTGATGGTCTCATAAAGAGCTGAGTGGTCAATAGGGAGGCAGGAGCAAAGGATAGGTGGGGCTGGCAGGCAGAGAGAATAAATAGGAGGAGAAATCTGGGGAAAGAAAGATCAAGGACCGAGAGAGGAAAGAGGAGGGCTTTAGAGGCCAGCCACACAGCCAGACACAGAGTAAGAAGGAAAGAAAAGATGTACAGGAATGGAGAGATATAAAAGCCCCAAGGCTAAAGATAGATGGGATAATTTAAGTTAGAAAAAGCTGGCAAGAAACAAGCCAAGCTAAGGCCGGGCATTTATAATTAAGAATAAACCTTCATGTGTGATTTATTTGGAAGCTGGGTGGCGCTCCCCCCAACAGAGCAGAAACCACCACCAACAACCTCCCGAGTGTTGGGATTAAGGGCGTGGACCACCATAGCCCAGCTGTTTTGTGTTGTTTTTTTGTTTTGGATTTTTTCCTTGAAATCTATGCAGATGAAGATGGTTTTAAACTCCTGATCCTCCTGCCTCCACCTCTTAGTGCTGGGATTACAGGCACTGGCCACCCTGTGCCCCACCTGAAAATCACAGTTCTATGCCTTTTAAGATGCATTTTCATGGTGTTTGGGAGAAAATAGCTCAGCTGGCAAGGTGCCCAATCACACAAACATGAGATTTGAGTTTGACCTGCAGAAGGAACATGTCGTGCTCACCAGAAGTCAGATTTAACTGAATCATCTGTCTTATCTGATAACCCTATCCTGGAGCACTGGTTAAAATAGTAGTGGCCTCCTCAAGCCCCTGCAGATTTGGGAGGTGTGGAAGGAACCTCCAAGGAATCTGTATTTTAAACGGCTATTCAGAAGCTGGAGAGAGGGTTCAACAATAAGAACTTGCTGCTGTATCATGAGGAATCGAGTTCAAATCCTAACACTAACATCACGTAGTTCACTAATACTTGTAACTCCAGGTTCAATATACCCGAGCTTCAAGAGACAGCCATAGACACCCTGCTACACACACTTCAATGCTAAAAGAAAATCGACAATAGTAAACACTATATTCAGACCAAACGTGGTGGTGCATGCCTTTATCCCAGCACTCAATGGTTCTGTAGTTCAAGGCTAGCCTGATCTACATGGCAAATTCCAAGATAGCCAGGACCTAGAGAGACTGTCTCAAAAAACAAAATAAAAAACCCAACAACAAAAACACAAGACAAACGAAAAACCCCACTAAACTATTTAGACCATGCTTCCTCACTAGGCTGGTGGGGTCCCCGACACTCCATGGGAATATGAGCGTTCACTCCTCACTTCTTTGTTACTGTTTTTGTTTGTTTTGGTGAGACAGGGTTTCACTATATAAACCCTGGCTGTCCTGGAACTCACTTGGTAGACCAGGCTGGCCTTAAACTCACAGAGATGCCTCAGCCTCTAGAGTGATGGGATTAAAGGCATGGGCCAAGGCACCTGGCTCATTCCTCATTCTCCAAATGTCTACTTGTAGTCAAGCTTCCCGAGTCGGAATCAGAACTTCAACCTTTCCCCCTCTTCCGAATTGTGCAACCAGTGACCCTCTGCTACTGTTTAGAAGAACATCCCTTTCCTTTGCTCTGATACTCCTGAAGTTTTTGTCCACGCGGATTTAGCCAGTCGCTTCCCGCTCAATCTACAACAGCAATCTACAACAGAACCCATACGTGGTACCGTGCCAACACAGGGACGGGTGGGGCCCGGGATGAAGGAGAGGGAAGAATCTGCAAGTCTCCGGTTCCCGGGGCTGCTTTTAGAGCCACCCCACCCTATCTATGACTAGCTCAGCCGGCCCCTCCCAGCAACCTGTGCCACGGAAAGGCGGGGCTGGAGCTCCGAGAGGCGTGGCCAATCCGTAGCCACAGCCAATCACAGAGAGGTCCTCTAGTGAAGGGTGCGGTTGACAACTTCAGAGACGCGAAGCTTCTGGGGACCCCACCTAGTAGGGCCCTCGGCGCACGGGATGGAGTGGACCCGGGAAGCTTCTGGGGGAGGCCAGGCCGAAGCCGGGTCCCCAGAGGAGTCCTTGGCAAGCCCGGAAACGGAGCAGCCGCAGGTCCCCGTGGAGGCGCCGCAAGCCGGGGTTCCCGACGGCAACCCGAGGCCGGAGCGGACCGGGAGGGAGGCGGCGGACGCGGAGCTGCAGGTCCTCTCGGAGGAGAAGCCGCAGCCTCCGGCTCTGTCCGGGTCCCCGCGCTTGCCGCCGCTCAGCCTGGGCTATGGCGCTTTCCGCCGCCTGGGCTCATGCAGCCGCGAGCTGCCGTCGCCGAGCCCCACGTGGGCCGAGCTGCCCCAGGACGGCGAGGTCGAGCCGCAGCCCTGGGCGGCGACCGGAGAGCCCACGCCTGGGTCCTGGGCGCCCGTGGAGCTGCAGGTAGACGTGCGCGTTAAACCCGTGGGCGCGGCGGGAGCCAGCCGCGCGCCCTCGCCCGCGCCGTCCACGCGCTTCCTCACCGTGCCGGTGCCGGAATCGCCCGCCTTCGCCCGCCGCTCGGCGCCCACGCTCCCGCGGCTGCCACGCGCCCCGTCGCCGGGCTCTACGTGGGGCCGTGGATCGCCGCTTGCCGCGCCCCCGACCGAGCGCATCGGCCCCACCGAGGGCAGCGCGGTCTCCCCGGGCTCGCCCACCTGCCGCTGTCGCTGCCGCTGCCAGGAGCCCGGGCTGACCAAAGAAGACGCCGCGCTGCTGCAGCGCGCAGGCATGGACAGCAAGAAACTACCGCGGGCCATCACGCTCATAGGTGAGTGCTCAGCGGTACCCGTGCCCCGTCCCTGAACGAGACTAACCAGGAGCCCACTGGGCTGCCCCAAGCCCACACTGCTTCTCCGACTCAGAATTAATACAACGAAACAAAACAAAACAGGGTCCCGCCCCTCCCCTGGGGAACTTTCTCATTCCTTCTCAGTGCGCGCCGCATCTTGGAGAAGTAGAAGTGGAAGGAACGTCGGAGGAGGGGAAGTGATTCAGAGTCACGTGGCCGTGGTGGCCCGGGCACACCTCCTAGGACTCGGCTCCTTTCTTTCCGCGTTGAGGAGGGTCATCCATCTGCACACTGAGCTGGCCGGGTGCCAGACGGCTGGGACGTGCGTGTGTTTTGCTTTGCTTGTGAAGGAGAGGCGAGGCGAGCGTGGAAGAAAGCCTCTGTTAGTTTGCTTTCTCTTACTGTGATAAAACACAAAAAACAACTCGGGGAGGAAAGAGTTTGTTTAGCTTACAGTCATCCATCATCCAGGGAAGCCAGGGCAGGAACCTGTAAGCAAGAACTGAAGCGAAACCACGGAGGAAGGCTGCTTCCGGGCTTGCTTTCTTACACCGCCCCGCCACCACCTGCACCCCCATCCCACCCCCACCCCCGAGGTACCGCCCTCAGTAGACTGGGCTTCCCACATCAATCATTAATTAAGAAAATGCCCAACAGACTTGCCTACTGGCCATGCTGATGGAGGAGGCATTTTCTCAAGGGAGGTTTCTCTTTTCCAGATGACGCTAGCTTGTCTCAAGTTGACAGAACACTAACCAGCACAGCCCCCTAAAGCTTGTAAGTCCCTCGGAGTGAGGAATGGCTCTGTTGTTGTGGTTGGTTTACTCGGTTGGTGGTGGTAGAGCCCTGCCTGAAGGGGCTCGTGCCTTGCCCAGCAGGTAAAAACTGCCCCAGTCCGGGGCAATGGAAGGGTAGGATGATAGCCTGTAGTACCTAGGAGTCCTCAGAGAGAGAGAGGGGGCTCCAATACTTGAAAGGATCACTAAAACCTTTGAGAATTCTGTTGTAAGTTTCCCACCACTCGGTGCCTCTTGCTGATACAAATGTAATAATATCTCACAGTGTGAACATCCGAGGTCCGACTGGGCTCCCCAGGCTGAGGTGGTGGTGTCAGCCGGCTGGGCCTCTCACCGGGGCTCCTGGGGCAGGCCCCTGACTTTGCCTGAGTGCTGTCAGCCCCAGTGGTGTTAAGCTGGGTTAGTCTGCCCTCGGCTTTGCCTCCCTCCTCATGGGTAAGGACCCTCACGATCCTATTGGAACCAGGACAGTCTCCATTTCAGGGTCAGCTGATCAGCAACCTCACCTCCATCTGGACCTTAATTCCTCTTTGCTAAACGGCCTAGTGTATTTATTGGTTCTAAGGATCTAGGGACATCTTTGGAGTGATGGTATACCAGCCTCTAGCGTTTTACCAGATTCTTTCACATTAATTTTATGTGTATGAGTGTCTGCACGTATGTCTGTGTACCACTTACATTCCTGGTGCCTACAGAGGCCAGAAAAGGGTATCAGATCCCTTGGAACTGGAATTACAGGCAGTTGTAAGCCCTACCTTGTGGGTGTGGCAACCCAACTCAGGCCCTCTGCAAGAACAGCCAGTGCGTGCTAACCACTGAACCATCTCTCCAGCTCCTCCATTAGATTCTTAAAAAACCGTGACTTAAGAACCAGTGCTGAAGTGACACTGTTGGATTTGCTCTGGGAATTAAGCTCTGACTGTCTGGTGGAGGAAGGCTGGGGAGGCCCGAGGCTGAGAAGGACAGGATTTATGGTAGAGGATGGGGCTCAGGAGGCCGAGTCAGCAGGCAGGACCACACACAGAGGGGACACAGCTAAGCTGCAAGGATGAGAGGCCATGTAAGCAAGGCTCAGTGACTTGCTGGACCCTAGGCCAGCTGCTTCTCCATCCTGTGTGAACTTGGGAGGAACAAGCCCCTGGGGAGAGGGTCTGGAATATCACGACTTTGTCTCGTCCCTTGTTTCTGTGGGCAGGTGCCCTGAAGGAGCTGTCTAAGCTGTTAGTGAAGGCACCCAAGGCTGGGAGACATATTTTAAGACAAGGTCTCATGTATGCTAGCTAGGCTGGCCTCAAACTCACTACATAGTCAAAGAGTGACCTTGGACTTCTGATTCTTTTGCCTCCATCCTCAAAGTGCTGGAGTTAGAGGGATAGGCCACCACACCTGGTTCATGTGGTGCTGGAGATCACACCTGGGGCGTCAGGTATGATAGGCAAGTTCTGTACCAATGGTTCAGGCAGCCGGCAGCCGGCAGGAGGGAGGGGGGTTTGTAAAACGGAGAAGGGCTGGAGCCTCATGGGGTGAACGCTTCTCCCTCAGATCTTGGCTTGGACTTACCTTCTCTTATCCCCCAGGCAACGTAGGGATCTCGATCTCACCCTCTCATTTGGATTGACTTCATTATCCCAGGAGTCTTCAGCCAGGCTATGATTGCTTCCTAAGTGTCTCCTTGGGGGGAAAGGAAGGCAGAGCACAGACTTGCCCACATCTCAGTACCTGGCACATCAGTGGCTTCTCAGTCTAGTTGTACAAGTCAGAACTTATTATTCCCTGGATCCCTCCGGGGAGAAGATGGAGGGTTTGATCTCGGTGGTTGTCTCGCAGTTGGCACACCTCCTATGGAGAAGGATCGCCCCGCCCAGCCCCTGGCCTCCAGGAGTCCATCCTGCCAGGTGGCCGCCTGTCCCCCATATCGTCCAGGCGGTGGGGATCATTCACAAAGTGAAAGCAGTCAGTCTGAGCGTAGTGTAGAGGGCAGGGAGGCTGTAGGCAATGAGGCTGGGGGATGAGAGCTCTTTGGGGAAGGTGAGCCAGAACGAGAATCCCAAAGGTGATCCAGGTCCTATGGGTCTCGGGAGAGGGGTTAGGATTTTGAAGCGCAGTGCAGAGGAAGACATCAGTGTCACGTGGAGAGGAGCAGAGGCCCTGAGCAGAAGACGGTGACTGCTAAGCCTCACACTGGCATAAGCCCCTTCTGCTCTTTTGGGGACATATGCCCTTTAGCAGTAACTGCAGGGTCGGGGGAAGGGAGAAGACGTGGTAATGGAACCCAGAGTGTCTGTTTTTGCAAGCCGAGTCTGTATAGTGTATGTGTGTAACTTGTGTGACCAAGAGTTGTTCTGTCAACCCGGCAAGGTGGCTCACGCCTGCCATCCCAGCGCTGGGGAAGCTGAAGCAGGGACTACGAGAGTTTTGGGCCACCCTGGGCTACATGCTGAGACCCCATCTTTTTTTTTCTTTTTTCTTTTTGTTTTTTCGAGACAGGGTTTCTCTGTGTAGCTTTGCGCCTTTCATGGAACTCACTTTGGAGACCAGGCTGGCCTCGAACTCACAGAGATCTGCCTGTCTCTGCCTCCCGAGTGCTGGGATTAAAGGCGGGCGCCATCACCGCTCGGCTGAGACCCCATCTTTTAAAAAAAAATGTGGCACATGTGGTGGAGCCCATAATCCCAGCATGCCAGAGGTTGGACCAAGATTGCTGCAAGTTCGAAGCTACCCTGGACCAGAATCCTCCAGGCCAGCTGGGCTAGACAGACCCTATTTCCAAAAACTAAAACAGAAAATGGTGGTGTGGGCACTTCCACCTTAGCTCGGCAGGGGCCTTGCCAAACTCAGTGGCTTGGGTTAGGCAGGTCCCCGACCCGGTTTGAGAGAACTTACCCACCCACTGGGCTTCTGTCATGCTTTGCTTTCTGAAGGTCAGAGCTAAACAAAGGTTCAGCCACAAGAATCACAGTGACTGGTGAGTTGATCTCCCTTGCCTTGGCCAAGCTTTCCAGTTCTGCTTTTATTATTTGCGAGCCTTGATTTAGGGCTGGGACACAGCTCAGTGGTAAAGCACTTGTCTAGCATGAACAAGACCCTGGTAGTTCAATGCCTTGTGGGAAAAAAAATCATCTCAGTTTATACATTTATACATATTTTTGGTGGTGCGTTGTTTGTAAAACGTGTGTGAGTTTGGCCTACATTTATGTGTGTGCATCACGTGCCTGGTGCCTGCAGAGGCCAGAAGAGGGCGTCTGATCCCTTGGAATTGGAATTCAAGTTGTGGGTGCTGAGAATTGAACTCAGGTCCTCTGGAAGAGCAGCCAGTGCTCTTAACCACTAAGCAGTCCCACAGCCTGTGAGTGTGTGTGTGTGTGTGTGTGTGTGCGTGCGTGCGTGCGTGCGTGCGTGTGTGTGTGTGTGTGTGTGTGTGTGTGTGTGCGTGCGTGTGTTAAGATAAGGTCTGGCTTTGTAGCTCTGGCTGACCTGGAACTTGCTATATGTTAGACCAAGCTTTTTCAGGTTCCCCCTTCTTTTGGTCACAGGCATATTGAGATGCAATTCCTATACCATGCAAGGCGCCATCTTACAGTGTAATAGTCAAGGAGTGTTGCATATTCGGTGTTGTGTTCATGCTAGAACAAACCTTCCACCCCCAGACCCCACCAGTCTGTCTCTAAACACTGTCCTCTGGACATCCATGTCCCTGGGTTCACATAACATGAACCCTTTTGTCTGGCTTCTTTCTGTTTTGTTTGTTGACAGGGTTTTGCCATGTAGTTCAGGCAGGCCTGAAACTTTTTTCTGATTAATTTACTTTATGTGTATGAATGTTTGCCAGGTGTGTGCCTAGGGCCCAGAATAGGGCATGTGATCCCTTGAGACTGGAGTGGTGAGCTGCCATGTGGGTGCCGGGAATTGAAGGCCCTCTGCAAAGGCAGCCACTGTTCTTAGTTCTTGAGCCATCTCTGGAGCCCCTGTAACGTCCCTGCCTCAGCCTCCCGAATGCTGGGATGATAGGCCTATGCCACCACACTTGACTGACTTCTTTGGCTTAACCCATTTTCAAGTTTTTTTTTTTTTTTATGCTGTAGCATGAACTTGGTATTTCTTTCTTTCTTTTTTTTTTTTTTTTTTGCTGGATAGTATTCCATGGCATGAATATATTATGTTTCAACTATCTACCTATCACTTGATAGATATCTTGGAAAATACCTTTAAAAAATGTGTATTTAAAAATTCCACAGGGGCTGGAGAGCTGGCTCAGCACTTAAGAGTACTTGCCATTTCCAGCACCCACAGTGAGATGCTCACAACCACCTATAACTCCAGTCTGTGGAGTCCAGCACCTTCTTCTGGCCTCCAAGGGCATATGCAAACACACATACACACACACACACACACACACACACACACACACACACACACACACACACACACACACACGGCCATAGTTAAAAATAAATCTGAAAAAAATATATTCCAGGGCTGGATTTAGGACTTAATGGATGAACATCCAGCATGCTTGAGGGCCTGGGTTAGTTCCCCAGCACAAAACTAAAAAATAAAAATCTGAACAGGTTACAGTGTTTAACCACCCACCCCCAACCCTTTTTTTTTTTTTTCCCTAAGACAAGGTTTCCCTGTGAAGCTCTGGCTGTCTGGAACTAACTCTATAGACCAGGCTAGCCTCAAACTCAGAGATCTACCTGCCTCTGCCTCCCAGATGCTTGGATTAAAGGCGTGCGCCACCACCACCCGGCTTCATACATCTCTTTAACACACTTCTGATCACTGAAGCAAATGTTTTCTCCGATGCAAATGAAAAAATGGGGTTTGAAAAGTTCCTGAGACTTTGAAGTTGAGTAACGGTAAATGTGTTCTATTAAAATCTTGAAAACTCAGGCTGGAGAGATGGCTTAGAGGTTAAAGAGCATTGACTGTTCTTTCAGAGGTCCTGAGTTCAATTCCCAGCAACCACATGGTGGCTCACAATCGTCTGGTGCCCTCTTCCGGCCTGCAGGCAAACATGCAGGCAGAACACTGTATACATAATAAATGAATATCTTACTTAAAAAAATAAATAAAAAATAAAAAAATCTTAAACTTATCTCTTTGCATTCATATATGAGTATATAATGTACTAGTATACACATTCTTTCTTTTTTTTTAGATTTATTTATTTATTATGTATACAGTGAGTGTTCAGCCTGCAGGCCAGAAGAGGGCACCAGATCTCATTATAGATGGTTGTGAGCCTCCATGTGGTTGCTGGGAATTGAACTTAGGACCTCTGGAAGAACAGCCAGTGCTCTTAACCTCTGAGGCATCTCTCCAGCCCCCTTTTTTTCTGTTTTTTTGAGGCAGTTTTTCTACATAGCCCTGGCTGGCCTCAAACTCACTATGTAGAACCAGGCTAGCCTGGAACTCACAAAGATCTGCCTGCCTCTTCCTCCTGAGTCCTGGGATCAAAGGTGTGTGCCACCAGGCCGGGCACAATTATTCACTTCAAATAAAATCCTGCTGCAGAACGATCTTTTGTTTTCCTTGTGGTCTGAGGAAATATGGTAACTACTTTCTTACCGCCCTCACCCTCCCTTCCATGATTACACTCACTGCTGCCCTCTTCCGAGAAGTGACGATCCCGAGGGCACGGAAGCCAGGTTCGAGGAGGGAGCACTCCTCTTTGCTAGAACTCTTCAAGCTTCTGTGTCCGGCAGGTGTCATGGCTTCAGAGGGGTGAGCACTGGTGCTGTGAACATGCTGCTGCCGCCGCCTTTCATTGTGACCGCTCCATCTGCCACTGTGCCTTTCCAGGTGTGATGGCTAATGCGATTTGTCCCTGTGATGCCATCTAGACTCAGGCAGGGAGACGGCCTCCCGGCAGCCTGTGGGGTTACCGTGATTGTGTTAATCGATGTGGGAAGTCCTGTCTCAGTTATGGGCAGAACAGTTCCCTATGCTGTGGACTTGGACTGTAGAAAGGGGACGCAAAACTGTGTGCTTGCATGCATTCATTCCTCACTGATTCCTTGTTGTGGAAGTGATGTGAGCAACGGCTTCAGGCTCCTGCCGCCCCGACTCCCCGCCATGATGGACTGTACACTTGAACTGTAAACCAGTACAAACCCTTTCTCCCCTGAGTTGTGTTTGTCAGAGTGTTTTATCACAGCAACAGGAAAAGCAACTAAGACACCTTGGTCCTCACTATCAGGGTGATTCAGCATTTAAAGGTGTGCCTTGGGCCAGGCATGACAACAGCTCCCCCCCCCTCCCCCCGAGACAGGGTTTCTCTGTGTAGTTTTGCACCTTTCCTGGAACTCACTCCGTAGCCCAGGATGGCCTTGAACTCATAGAGATCCGCCTATCTCTGCCTCCCGAGTGCTGGGATTGAAGGTGTGCGCCACCACCGCCCAGCAACAACAACTTCTTAAAAATTACATTTCTATTTCTTTTTATTGGTGGTAGGTGGGGCATGCAGCACTGCCTGTGTGTGAAGGTCAGGGGACAACTTGTGAGAGTTGATTTTTCTCCTCCTGCCGTGTGGGTTCCAGAGATCAAGCATCAGGTTTGGTGGGAGCCCCCTGCCAGCCTTGGCCACAGCCTGTAATCCCAGCTTCTCGAGGGGCTGAGGTGGGAGGGTCACATGAGTGTGGGAAGCATAGTGAGACCCTATCTCAAAACAGAAGGATGCCGGGCGGTGGTGGCGCACACCTTCAATCCCAGCACTCAGGAGGCAGAGGCAGGCAGATCTCTGTGAGTTCAAGGCCAGCCTGGTCTACAGAGCAAGATCCAGGACAGTCAGGACTACAGGGAGCAGTGATTCTCAACCTGTGAGTCAGAACCCCTTTGGGGGTCAAAGGACCCTTTCACAGGGGTCCCCTAAGACCATCAGAAAACACAGATATTTACACTATGATTCATAACAGCGACAAAATTATAGTTATGAAGTAGCAATAAAAATTTGTGGTGGCAGTGGTGGATGGGAGTCACCACAACATGAGTAACTGCATTAAAGGGTCGCAGCATTAGGAAGGTTGAGAACCACTAACAGAGAGCCCCATTTCAAACAACCAAACCCACGAGGATAGAATGACAGAAAACAGGGGGTGTGTCCTGTCTCCTGTCCCTCACACTCATTCCCTGCCTGCAGCCTCCCCAACTACCTGGTGCTCTTGGCCTTGGAGCCATAGACAAGGCCCATGGCTTCTGACTCCCCACGGCTGTGGAGAACTGAGTGTGCCCCGTCTTCAGTCGTGGCAAAGACCTGGAGAGACTAGAGAGGCCGCTGAGGGTTTGAGGAGAAAACGTGGAGAGTCAGGACTTGACCTTCATTGACTCTGACCTTGTAGAGCTGTAGTCCGGTCCCTGCTCTTTCTCCCGTGGCATGTCGCCCACGGTGCCCTGGATTCCGTCACCTGCTGCCTGAAGGCCCCTTGCCCACGTCTGTGGTGACGACACTGCTGTCTGGCACACGGGTACACCACGCACCGTGTGTGTGGCACATTGCTTGCTGTGTTTTGTGGAGCCCTTATCTTCTAGCCATGTGAGAAAAAAGCAGAGCGTAGTCTAGCAGGTCTCCTCAATATGAAGTTCGGATCTAACCTGGGCGCTCTGCCTGGGTGCTTGAGCCGAGGTGACCATGGAGCTGGTGTGGGGGCAGGGTGAGGGGGAGTGGAGACCAGGGTGGTGCAGGCTTGAATTGGGGTGATCTCTCTTACAACTTGCCTTTCTGGTTTCTCTCCAGGGCTGCCCCTGTACATGAAGTCCCTGCGCTGGGCTCTGGTGGTCATGGCTGTGTTCCTGGCTGTCTGCACTGTAGTCATCGTGGCACTGGCCTCCAGAGGCGGTACGGTATCCCGCCCCTATTCCATGTACTTGGGACACCTCTGAGACTTGCAGCATGAAGACACGGGCCTTGTTTAGCAAAGAGGAGAAAGCTTGACCCTAGCAAGTGACCTGACCGGTGATGCAAATACCAGCCCCTCCCTCTCCAGGAGAACCTTGCACAATGCAGGCCTTACGACCTGGGGCTCTCTCAGCCCATCATCCTTCCCACCTGGATGCTTGCCAGCTCCCTCCCCATACATTCACCCCCTCAGCCAGGGTCCTGGCCGGGTTTTGTTTTTACAGTGGATTCATGCATAGGCCCCTAGAATTGCCCCTGGACTCACAGATCTCTACTTTCAGGAGCCAGGTGCCAGCCATGCCCTCAGGGCTGGTTGTGGTCTCAAGAACACTGTTACTACCTCTCTGAAGAAGCCCAAGACTGGGCGGGCAGCCAGGCATTCTGCTCAGCCCACCATGCCACACTGCCCCTGCTGAGCCACACCCAGGTGAGAAAGGCTGGCTAAGGAGAGGGTATGTGTCATCCCAGATCCTTGAACTTAGCCCTGGGAAGGACTCTCTGGATCAAGTCCTTCACGCTCTGAGAGTCACCAAAGCCCCAAAGGAATGAAGTGACATGCACAGGGACCAGCTATCAGGTGTTCAGGGTTTCATTCTAAGAAGAAGGCAGAGCTAGGCCGGTCCCATCCAACCTGGGTAACTCAGTTAGCCAATTATCAGTGGAGCCAGGCCTGCTGGGAGAGACCCATGAGTCCTCCCAGGATGTGGTGGAGAAAATACAGTGTGTTGGGTGTGTGTAAGTGTCAGGTAATGGCTGTAGTGCTGGGGAAGAAAGCAGCTCGGAAATTACTTAGTGCCTTGGGACCATAAGCATTTCTCTCCTTTTCTTTCCTTCTTTTCTCTTTTTTAACAAGACAGTCTCGTTATGCTGTCTTGGCTGGCCTGAAACTATGTAGCCCAGGCTGCTTCAGACTCACAGAGATCCACCTGCCTCTGCCTCCTGGGTGCTAAAACTTACCACCACACTCAGCTAAAATGTTTTTTATTTATGTGTGAGTGTGTCTGCTTATGAGTACAGGTGCCCACGGAAGCTTAAGTGGTCAAATTCTCTGGAGCTGGAATTACAGTTGGCTGTGAGCTACCTGATACAGATTCTGGGAACCAAATTCAGGTCCTCTGAAAAAGCAAGAGCTGAGCCATCCATCTCTCCAACCATGTGATTAAGTGGTGTGTGTGTGTGTGTGTGTGTGTGTGTGTGTGTGTGTGTGTGTGTGTG